TACAAACATCGGACCAGCTTACCCAATGAATCTTTTTTTTCTCATCTCCTCCCCATAAAAAATTTGACATAATAGAATTAAGGAACTTGTATACAGAAGTTGGAACCTTGAACATTGACAAAAAATATGTAGGAAGTGAACATAGAACTGATTTAATTAAAACCAGCCAGCCTGCCATAGAAAGAGAGGATCCTTTCCAGCCCGCTAACCTCTTATTGAAGCTCTGAACCAGTGGATCCCACAGAATGTTGGAGTTTCTGTGTGGACCAAGAGGGAGTCCCAAGTATTCTGAAGGAAAACTACCCATTGAACATCCGATCGCAGCTGCCCAATCCTTAATTTCCTCTTCATTCGAGTTAACCCCAAACAATTTACTCTTCTTCAAATTCAACTGAAGACCAGACATAATTTCAAACACTCAAAACACCCTCTTCACATTCAAAATCTGCTTCTTCGACGCACCACAGAAAATTATAGATCATCAGCAAATTGAAGGTGCGATAAATTAAAATTCCCCTCCTTATTTCTAATGACCAAACCCGAAAATAGTCCCTCTGAAACTGCCTTAAGTATCAATAAATTCAGAAGTTCCCCAACTATATTGAACAACAAGGGAGACAAGGAGCAACCTTGACGAAGACCCTTAGCCATTGGAATTTCCTCGGTTGGAACCCCATTCACCAAGACTGAAACAGTTGCTTTTGTGATACATTTCGAAATCCAACCTATCCATCTAGAACCAAAGCCCATTTCCTTCATTACTTTGAACAATATTGGCCAGTCGATTGTGTCATATGCCTTCCTGAAATCAACTTTAAGAACACATCCCTTTAAACCATTTTTCCTCCAATAGTCAATCCCTTCATTAGCTATAAGGGAGCAGTCCAAAATTTGTCGACCGTGGATAAAAGCGAATTGAAACGGACTGATTAAATCTGAGATACAACTCCTAAGTCTCCTCGACAGGCATTTAGAAAGGATCTTGTATAAACCACCAACTAAGCTTATAGGTCTAAAATCATCTAGGCCTCCAGTGTTTGAGATCTTAGGAATAAGAGTGATAAATGTATGATTTACTCCATGTTCCCATTCCTTCCCCAAGTAGAAATTATGGAAGAATTTCATAATATATTCCTTAAAGACCTGCCAAAACCTCTTAAAAAATCCCAGATTAAAGCCATCCGGGCCCGGAGCTTTGTTACTACCACAAGACTTCACAGTATCCCAAACTTCCTCCTCAGAAAATTCCTGCTCTAAGAACTGACTTTGATCAGAATTAATTCTGGAAAAATCCAGTTTTAACTCATCGATTTCTAAAGTGGATCGGTCATTGTAAATTTTAAAGAAATAATCATTAACTATTGGCCTTAATTGCAGTCGGTTCTTCTACTGTTTCTCCTCTAAAGTTTAGGGTAACCAGAGCATTCCTCTTTTTTCGAACCGTAGCACACGTATGAAAGTATTTAGTATTACGTTCCTAATCTTCAATCCATTTCGATCTTGAGTACTGAAACCAAATCTGCTCCTGAATCTTGTGCAGTTTCCACAATTCTGCTATGTGATTATTCAACTCTGCTAATACCTCACTGTCAATAGCACCTTGCTTCTACTGAATATCAACCTCTAACTTCGAAACTTTCTTCTCTAACTTAGAAATCAAGGATCCTGAATACTGATCTCTCTTTCCAGCCCACTTTTTTATTGCATGTTTTGTACTCCTTAGTAGACTAAACACACCTGCCTTCTTTAGATTACTCTTACAACTCTGTATAGAAGAAATAACCATATCCTGAAAACCCTCCTCATCCATCAAGTAGTTGAAAAGTCTGAACGGTTTTTACCCCCAGTCCACACCTTTATTCACAAGAACTATAGCGTTATGATCTGACATCGACCTTGGTAGAAGAGACTGAATAATATCCGGAAACAAAGCCAAAAATTGACTGTCAACCAAAAATCGATCTAATCTTACAAAAGTTGGATTCTCTTGGTTATTACACCAAGTAAACCTACCCCATTCATAGGAAGATTAATTAGACCCGTTTAAAGAATAAACTCATTAAAGATCTCCATTGAACTCCTATTTTGACCTCTGCCCATCTTCTCATCTTCTTGTAAATAAACATTGAAATCCCCTCCTACACAAACGGGATAATTCTGCCCGCTTAGATAACTGCTTAATTCTTAAAAAAAACCAGGTTTCTCCTCCTCCACTGCTAGGCCGTAAACATTGATGAAACCACAACTGAAATTATTATTCTGAAATTTACCAAACATAGCTATAAATCTCCTGCTAATAAACTGACTCTCCAACTCAAAAACATTATCGTCCCAATAGCACAATAAACCCCCTGCTGATCCAATTGAAGGAGATACCAAAACTCCTTTAAGTTTATTAATCCCACTTCTCCTAAAAAAGACCTCTGAAATTTCTCAATTTTGGTTTCTTGCAGCCAAAGAAAAGTAGGATTCATGCTAGAAACTAAATTCTGAACAACCTTTTTTTTTTTCATTTTTCCCCGAACCCTTAACATTCCATGAACATATTACTAACTTTGTCATCTTCATAAAAGGAATAGGTAGAAACTAAAACCCTCAACCAACAGTACCTTGATTAACCCTAATCAAGCCTTTCTCTAGAGCTATAATTTTCTCCAAAAATACTTCTTTCCCTTCCTTAAAAACACCCCCAAAAGCTTTCTAACCTCCCAAGTTGCTAGAGCTTCATCCATTAAAACCGAGAAGGCTGAGGAGGAGGTTGTATCAATGCTCACTTGTTCAAGGGCTTCCCGTAACAGATTCCTTCTAGTTCTAATTAGCAAACCAGATTTGGATCTTAAGCAATCACCTTCTGAAAAATAACCTTCAATCTCCCTTTCTTCATTCCCAACCCCTGTGCCACTGTCAATGTAAGGAAGATTACCCCCATCAGCACTGAACTTTGCTGATAAATGAAGTTGTTTTTTAGTACTGGAATCCACATCAAATTTTCTCTGACTAACTATAACTTCATCTGCTTCAGACGAGAGCTTTAACAAATCCCCATACCAATATCTTCTTTCCCTCGACCTTCTATAGACCCTTTTGCAACTGCTCAAACTTCTAGTTTCTCGCACATTACCCTCCGTTGTGAACTATCTTCTAGATCGATGTAACTGTCTCCCCCTAGAATTGAATCCTGAATCAGTTGTAACCAATTCAACCAACCTTAAGACTTCCTCTTCGGCCACTCTTTCTGCATTAACCGACTGTTCTGCAATTGGGCTCTTCTCCAAATCTTTTAACCTTTTACTATTATTCTCTGATAAGTTAAGGTTTTAAACCAATTCCCCAAACTTATTAATTGTAAATGTTAGCCCAGAGATAAAACCCGTGACACCTTTTGACCCATACTGCCCAGAATCTTCCTGAGATCCATCAGCCGAATAATTTTGACTTCTAATTCCCAAACCTGCAAACTCACCTGCTTTTAAACTCCCAACATTCTGACTTTCTAGCAATCCATAATTAATATCTTTCCTATCTAAGGAAAGTCTTGCTAGCTGTCTGTCCTCACCAACTCCTCCAGAAACACGAAAAACTCTCTGGTCAATCCAATTGTCCACTGACAGAAGATTTTTCCCTGCTGCACATGCTTCACCTTCCCAACGATCTGACAACAGTCTGTCTTCATCCTTCTCAGACATAATCTCCTCAAAAAATGCCCCACTGGAAAATTATTGAAGAATGAACTTGAATACTCACTTGCCGATCCGATCTTGATACTTACTTTGAAGGATCTTCTATAAGATCCGAGAGTTATCACATCTGGAACATCAAATGGGCTTGCCACCCTCAATAAAATTCTTACCAGTGTAAGGTCTTCTCTTTTCCTCGTACCTTCATGAATATCCACCACTGTGCCCCATCTACCTGCTATCTTCTCAAAGAAAGATTCATTCCAGCATAACAGAGGGACCCCTATTAATTCCACTATGCAGAAAGCCAATGGAACTCCCTCATCATTCAGTAATGGTTCCACTCGATCAAACCATTGTTTTATAACCTCTTCCCTGTTACTCCATAAATCCAGCATCTCCTCATGAGATTTAAAAACTATAACGCTAGAGTTCCATACTTTACTTGTATTTGGGTTTGGGCATGTGTCTAACATGAATACGTTTTTTTTATCTCATGCCCTTATTGTTAGGCAGAAAAACCTTCAATGGTATTTTAGTTTTAGAGTTGATCTAACTGCATTATTCCAAGTTGTAAAAATTTAGAGAAGCGGAAAAAGGTATAACGAGAATTTTAGGAACATTTCGAGAATTGAATCCAGACCTCTTGCACCTGAAGCAAGAATCATACCACTAGACTAAATGCCCAGCCTTTGATGTTTATCATGATTAGGTTTTGGTATTATATATTTTTTTCAAGATCCTGATGAATTTTGATAAGTGGAGCATAGCCTTGTCAGCATGTTGATCTGGTGTTTGAATACTAACTTGGTGCTTAAGCTAATGGTTAAAGATGAGCTTATTGAAAGATTGGTAATTGTTGTGTCATGATAATCTTTTATTTCCGAGACTGCGTACTAAATGCTCGAATATTATTTTGATGCAAGCAGTGTAGGTGATATCTGCTTTAGTCTTTACCTGCTAAAGCCATTTGGTTATTCTACTAAGGATCCGAAATGAATTCGGCATTGACCAAGCTTTGTACCTTTGTTCACCACATTGTTTAGTGTGGTCACTGCACAAAAGAGAAGAAAATTGGGTTTTTTGTCTATCAAAAACCGGACATTTGGCTTTCTTGTTAACTACCGTCTGTAAACATTTATTTAAGCCAGCTCCTCAAATTTCAACAAACTGGAAGAATGGCTTCTTAATATAGGTAATTGCTTATTTAATTAACTTTTGCAACTCGTTGTATATTGTCTTGTCAGAAAACAGTTAGTACTTTGAAAAAATGACTTTGGTTCATATTCCTCTAACCTAACGGGTTTGAAAAAGCAGAAAAATGATAGAGGGGCATTCCGAGAATCAAACTTGGGACCTCTTGCACCCAAAGCGAGAATCATGCCACTAGACCAAATGCCCTATTTGTTGCCAATAATGTTGATAACATCTATAGTTGACTGACAAATTTTCAATAATAGTGCATACTTTCTTTGCATGTTGAATCTCTGATCAACTCAATTGTTTGTGAGCTATTTTGTTTATTTAAAAAAGTGCATTGGACTAGGTATGAATCTGTTTTAACCTTTGGTTAAAGGCTTTGGGGCATTCCAAGAATTGAATTCAGGACCTCTTGCACCCGAATCAAGAATCATACCACTAGAGCAAATGCCCTATTTCTGAAATGTACAATGTCTGGTTTCTAGTTTTCAATCCTTTTCTCCTGAAACTCCTGTTAATTTTCAATAGAGACCAATGTTGGCCACTCTTACATTTTACATGGCCGAGGGTATTGTTGCCTAGCTGAAATTGGATGCTAGTCTTGTCAGCATGTTGTTTTGATGTTTGAATACTAATTTGGTGCTTAAGCTAATGGTTAAAGATGAGCTTATTGGATGATTAGGGAGGATTATTGAATGATCAGTAAGTGTTGTGTCCTAATAAACTTCTATTTCCGGGAGTTTTCATACTGAATGCTTGAATATTATTTTGATGCAAGCAGTGTAGATGATACGTACTTTAGCTACTAAATCCATTTGGCTATTCTGCTAAGCATCCGAAATGAATCCGACATTGACCAAGCTTTGTACCTTTGTTCACTACTGCACAAAATAGAAGAAAATTAGATTTTGTGTTGATCGAAAACAGACCATTTGGCTTTCTAATTAACTAATTTTTCTTTCCGTAATCATTTTTTTTAGGCTGCTCCTCAAATGTTGGTTTCATACACGTTTATGTGATGCGTTTTCGTTTATCTGAAAATTTTGAGATCACAGGTAAGCATAATAGCTGCTCAACATAGGTAATTGCTTATTTAACTAACTTTTGCAACTCCTTGTATAGTCTTGTCAGAAAACATTTAATACTTTGAAAAATTACTTTGGTCCAGATTCCTCGTGCCTAATGCTTTCAAATGGGTATGCAAGATAAAATGAAAAATAGAGGGGCATTCTGAGAATCAATTCGGGACCTCTCGCACCCAAAGCGAGAATCATACCGCTAGACCAAATGCCCATTTGTTGCCATCAATGTTGATAGCCTGTATAGGTGGCTAATTTTCAAGAATAGTTCATACTTTCTTTGTTTATTGATGAACCTATGATCAATTCAATCTATTTGTGAGCTATCTTGTTTGTTTAAAAATGTGCATTGCACTAAGTTGGAATCTGTCTTGTGATTAACTCCAGGTTGTGGCTTTTTTTCAATATCTTGATTCCATTTGATACTTGTTAATTAAAATATGAATACACTAGAAGGCAAAATATCTATTGTTTATGGATTTCCTAAATTTTTATAATTTCTTTTAACCAAATAAGTGTGTGACTGAAGCATTTTTCTGTTCTTTTAATGACCCTGTTTGAGCGTATTGTAAGGATTAACCCTAGTGAGATTACGTTAAAATCCCCATTTGTGCAGACATTGAACTTAATTTTATTATTTATTTATGTTTTGGTACTTTTTTGTGAGGAATCTTGTCAGAAGACAGAAAAAAATCCATTATTAAGTTCTATATTAGTATAGAAGTTGACTTGTGATTGGAATCTGATCAATTATAAAAATTTAGAAAAGGGATAAAAAGAAAGGGAATATGGGGGGCATTGCTAGAATTGAACTCGGGACCTCTCACCTGAAGCGAGAATCAGTATATTCTAATGTTTGAATCTTAACTTGGTGCTTAAGCCAATGGTTAAAGGTGTGCATTTTGGATGATTAGGAAGTTATTGCATTATCGGTTAGCGTCTTGTGCTGATAACCTTTTATTTCTGGGACTCTGCATACTGAATGCTTGATATTATTTTGCTAAAGGCAGTGTAGGTGGTATTTTTACTTTAGTCTTTAGCTGCTAATGCCATTTGGTTTTTCTACTAAGGATCCAAACTAATCCGACATTGACCAAGCTTTGTGCCGATGTTCACCACTGCAAAAAAGAGAAAAAAATTAGATTTTTTTTGTCGATCGAAAACCGGATCTTTAGCTTTCCCATTAACTAGTGTTTCTTTCCGTAATCATTTATTTAGGCCTTCTCCTCGAATGTCGGTTTCATACACGTTTATGTGATGCCTTTTCTTTTATCTGAAAACTGATCAAAAGTAGGAATAATAGCTGCCCAACATAGGTTATTACTTATTTAATTAACTTCTGCAAGTCCTTGTTGATAGTCTTGTCAGAAAACAATTAGTACTTTGAAAATTGACTTGGTCCAGTTTCTTCTTGCCTAATAAAAAAGGAGAAATTATAAAACAAGGGGGCATTCCGAGAATCGATCTCGGGACCTCTCGCACCCAAAGCGAGAATCATACCACTAGACCAAATGCCCAATTTGTTGACTGTAATGTTGGTGAACTTATATAGGGGGCTAATTTTCAAGAATAGTGTGTACTTTCTTTGTTTATTGATGAATCTCTTACCAACTAAATTGTTTGTGAGCTATTTTTGTTCATTGAAATGGAATTGATTGAATCTGTTTTGACCTTCAGCTAAAGGCATTGAGGCATTCCGAGAATCAAACTCAGGACCTCTTGCTCCGGAAGAGAGAATCAAACCACTAGACCAAATGCCCTATTTCTGTAAATGTATAATGTCTGATTTTTAGTTATCAATCCGTTTCTCCTAGAACTCCGGTTAATTTTGACTAGAGACCAAAGTTTGCCACTCTTACATTTCATATGGTACAGTGTATGGAATTGCAAAAGAGTGGCATTAGTGGTGTACTTTTCAAGAATAGTGTGTACTTTCTTTGTTTATTGATGAATCTCTTACCAACTAAATTGTCTATGAGCTATTTTTGTTCATTGAAATGGCATTGATTGAATCTGTTTTTAACTTCAGCTGAAGGCATTGAGGTATTCCAAGAATCAAACTCAGGTCCTTTTGTAGATGCTCGTTTTTGTCCGGGGTTAAGTCGGAGTAGATCCGAGCAATGACAGGCCTAAAGAACCCAATTCGTTGAAGGCCCAGTTCAAGCCTAATGACCCAGCATTGTTATCATCCAAGCTTCCAGTTCGTGAAGTCTTGGAAAACTGAAAAATGGTTATCAGGAGTTAAAAAAAAACTGTAAATGGAGTGAGGGGCAGTTTTTATTGATTAAGAACAGAACAGAAAAGGGGGGAGAAAGAGAAAAAAGACACAGCAAAAAAAAAACAAGAAAGAAACGAGCAAGAAGATTATAGACACAGAAAAAGAAAGGGGGGAGATTACACAGAAAAAAAAGGGAGAAAAGAGGAGAAGATTGAACGGAGGAACGAACAATCAAATCCTCCATTATTGATTTTTGCAGTGAAGAGCGAAAGGAAAGAACATTGTACTATATTTTCATCAAAGGAAACATAGGAGTTCCCTATTTTAGCGAACCAAAGTAACATAGAATTAAAAAGGTATTTATTTTTAGTTTCCATTCTCTATCGCTTTTATAATGTTATTGTGTGTGCCTATGTTTTGAATTGAAACCAAGTCAAAAGCGTAAAGGAATAGTAGTATGTTTACCTTAGGAATTGGGGCCATTTCCAGGGCCATGGTTACATCATTAGGTAGAAGATTGTTAACTTAGTATCTTTGGGTGATTTAGGAAATTTTGTTAGAAAGAGTAATCTAAAAATGTATATTTTGAAAATGTTAGAAACGAAACTTGTCCATTGAAATGAAAGCTATGATGAAATTTTTTACCTTCTTCGTCGATAGATTTACTTCCATTGTTGGGGCTTTTGAGCGATAGAGGGTCGTGGTGACCGTTTTGCTTCGGTTGGGGTCTCGTTCGGGCTGTCATAGAACATAAGTGTTGTGTTCTTTAGATTAAGGATTCTTTCGTGGTGGTTTGGGTACGAGTGGCCGTGAATATGGTGGCTGAGATTTTGATCAAACGTGGGTAAGGGTTAGTAAAGAGGGAAGAGGAATGGCAATCGGTCTCCTTTTCTGGTCTGTAGCTTGCGTGATAATGAGAGGGGGAAGAGTTGAAGAAGAAGAGTGGAGAGTGAGGCAAGGTGTACACGTGAATTGGGTTTAGTCTAGGTTTAGTGTAAAATAGGTTTTATATCATAGCTTTTGGGTAAATTAATATTTAGCCATCGAATTTTTATGATAATTTTCTCTTGTGCCCTTGTACTGTAGCTGTATATCTACACTTTAGTCACCTTTGGACTATTTTAGAATTTTTATCTTTTTGTTGTTTGTCCTGATTTTGACGTTTTCCTAAATTTAGATTGTAGTTATAATTTTCGGGTTATTTAGGTTTAGCTCCTTCATAGTTATTTTTTAATCCTTTTTATAATTCGAATTATATGTCTAATTTTCATTTTATTTAATTTAGTCCTTAGTTAAATTTGTGAATAATTTGAATCTAACCCCTGATTATTTTGTTATTCTGATTTAGTTTCCTTTTTAGATCTATTTAGCCAAACTTTAAAAATCATTTTATTATATTGTACATACATCAACAGAGCATTATTTACATGTCACAATGCATGTGTTTATTGCACGTGTCACTTTATATTATATTATGTATACATTTTTGATAACTTATGCATATTATTTAATATAGAAAACTATCTTGTTATAAAAATCGTGAGCGCATGTGCTTTGAATGTAGTCATTTAATGCTATAATACACATATGCACGTGCTTCAATGATGATTTAAATTGTTGTTCTTCAATTATTTTAGAATTTAGTATTGATGATGGTTAATTCTTATTGTTTTTAAAATTATTAGTGTGTTCATCTTTCTAGATTACATTCTAATGTTGTCAGTATGCCATGGACTTGCTTGTATATAGCCATTTGTAATTATCTGTAAATACATCATTTCATATGATTTGCATGATAACCTCATGGGCATAACTCGACCATACGACATAATTGGCTTAAGGGTAATACACTTTTAATTTAAATCGTTTTTAGCGGGCTGTCTTGACTGATTAGAGGTCCGTTTCTAACAATTTTAAATTAAAAGTGTATCACATCAGTGACACCAAAGAAATTTATTTATCACTTTAAAATTTAGGAACGAAAGAAAAGGAAATGTTCGGTTATTTAAATTTATCGAGAAAAGGTTGTTATAGCTTTTAAGATCTGGTCTCGATATTTGTAAATAATCGAACATTCTTTATCTTTTTAAAACGACTTGGTAATTTTAATTTAATTCATTTGAGTGCTTTTGAATGTTTCAAATTTACATTTTTATTTTATAGGATCAAAAATCAAAATAAATTTGAATTTGTAAAATTCATTGCAAAGACGTTAATTAATCGACTAGGTACCGATTTAGGGCGTTGTGGGGGTGCTAATCCTTCCCCACACGTAACCGATTCCCGAACTCATTTTTGGTAACGCAGACCTCAATTTGTTGTTTTAATTAAAATTAATTTTTATTTAAAATGACAAAGCATTTTTGGGTGCCCAATCACACCCTAATCAAAGATTGGTGGCGACTCTTTGAATCGTATTTTTCGATCGTAAAAGAAATTCAAAATTTTTCGAAACAAGAGGTTTTTTAAATCGCATTTGTTTTTAAATTAAAAATCAATTGAAATATATAAGTTAAAAATTGATGTAGTTTTATAAATCTCACCTTTTCACCTTTCAAGAAAAAATCGTTTCGACAGCTTGGCGACTCTGCTGGGGACATTTTTTTAGAGAGTCAGGCCAATAGTCGATTAATTATCTGTCTTTACAATTGAAAGTTATAAATTTGTTTTAATTTGGTTTTTGATCCCTTATTTGGTTTTAATATTTTTTTGTTTATAATATGATTAACCAATAAATAGTTGTACTGATCTGTTTGTTAATGGTTTCAGATTAATTGTGTATTTTGGGAATTGATTTTGAGTGTTTTTATTGTTTGTTTTTTCGCTTTTCCTCACACACTGCACAGTTGCATTATCATAACATGAGCTAAAACCCCGCTCCGTCCTGTTTAAGTAGGAGTGAGAGACTATGCCCTCGTGTGGTTTTCACCTCCACATGGGATAGTGGATCGCTTCTGGAGCTCACGCCTTATGGTCCTCGTGATGGTAATCACCTCCGCATGGACATAAGGAGGTGTGTTCCCTCGAAATTGAACTCGATCCCCTAAAGCCTGTGATGGGCCAGGATTGAGGGTTCGGCAGCCCAAGGGGGCACCGACAAGGACAATTCGAGAACCTATTACTTTAGAACCGAACCCAGCATATAGTGAACATAGAGCCCGAATTTAGGTCGAGCCTAACCCGAACCTTAAGAGTCCCGTGAGGAGGGTACACAAGGAAAAGCTTTTTGAGTCATTTAATTTTGCTTTTTGAATAAATGTATATGAACTAGAAATCATGCGGTTAGGTTTATTTTTCTCGAACAAACATGTGAATTAGATATCATGCGGTTAGGATTTTTTGTGAATGACAAAGTATGGGGTAGATATCATGTTGGGTAGGATCAACTAAAGTATGATTGGGTAGCCAATATATGAGGGTAGGTTTTATTTGATATTTATAGTACTTATTATTTGTTGTTTATATTATGTGCACTAACCCATTTTTTGTTATATGTCTATTTTATTTTGATTTTATTGCATTTACATCTTCATGTCATCACAAGGTGTTAATTTGCAAGTGATTGACTAATGAGAAGGCTAGACATATTGAGACAAAAAATTCTCAACCATGTAGTCAAAACCGGGAGATACAAAGATGTTCGACTGATCATGAAGAATGATATCTGCTGAATGAAGAAATCAAACTGATTGAAGACTTCCTTTAATGGGGCAAAGGCCAAGATGTTGATTCAAGAGATAGATACAATTATAGCAAGGACGAGAATACCCTTCACAAAGACATGAAGATCACTTCGTATTGAAAGTAAAAATGGAGACCTCAAGATTCAATTTAAAGACATCTGATGTCATCAAAGGTGATAAAGTACGCCGATAACTTTGGGTGCAATATTAGATTCCATGAAGAGTACGGCTCAAGGAAATGAAGAAATGAAGAATCACATTTATATTCTGACTACATGGTGTACTGAATTCTTGTTGTCTAAATGAAGGTTATTCTATAGTGGTCACTTTTAGGATTAACACCTTGTGCATGTGCATTTGCATTTGCATTCTTATTAGCATTAATTTATTTATTTTGTTATTGTTGCTTTTTGTCATTTTGTTATCTCATTTGTACTAACTTGTTTCTATATTGTTTTTTTTTTCTCTTTGTTCGCATTGCATGATCATGACATATTCAAAAGGTGTTGATTTGTGAGTGGTCATCATAGTAAAAGGTTTTCATGACGGATAAAGTGTTTCGTGATCAAGCAGGCTATAACATAGTCAAGAAGTGGCATCCTATGAAAGCTTCGAGAATAGTGGAGGGTTGTGTGCATAAAGATCATATGGCGCACAAAGAGCACAATGAGATAAGAGAGATAAAAGAGCAAATGTCTAAGATGATGGATAGAATAGATGTTTTGTCCAAAGGAATAGAGACTTCTACAAAAGAAAAGAAAGAACTCAATGAAAACAATCTCGAGGTGTCAGATACGCAATGGACTACTTTAGAACCTGTTGATTCTAGTCAGTATCAGAAATCACGCACAATCATTGTTCGTATCAACAAGTTGTTTGGAAATGCCAAGGAAATAGTGGCAACTATAGAAGTTCAGAAGGATGAAAAGAAGCCATGCAGTCAGAACTCGTTGGTGTTTGATAGTTTACTTCCAACATCAAGGGAAATAAAAATGGAAACTCCAATTCAACCCAAGTTGAGAGGTGGCTCTCATTGTGATTCCATCCCAATATTATATAAGGAATTGTATGATGAACTGTTA